CACATAGAGTTCCTATGAGGTTCAAAATTTTCACTATCTTCATTATCTCTATGTGTAGAGTAAGTATATTTTGAAGAGTAGTCATCAAATGATAAATCCCCAAAATAGTTTTGCATGTAATTGTTAACAAGCCACCCATATGGATCCGAGATTGGTTGACGTTGTCCATAAGCAAAATCATTTGAAGATTGAGTCTCGGATTCTTTCCATGAGTCGCTTGATTCCATCCCAACAAGAATGAGATATGAAGGGTAGGGAAATGGTTAGTTATGAGTATAACCATAGTTACTACTCATCTCATGTGAAAATTTGTTTCTTGCAAAAAGAATTCAAAACAAAACCATGTATATATATATAAATATTTTAGTATTTTCACAAAAACATAAGTGATATGGTGGTTAAGGGGTTGAAGGAGTAAAATGGTTTTCACAAATACCATGTATATAAATATTTTTGGGTTTCGTATCGGGATATTATCGGGATATTATCGGTAATATCTCGATATATTGCCCAAATTATTCATAAAAATGTTGAAAATATCTTTCCGATATTATCGGGATAATATCGATATATTGACGATAACACTATGGTTAGTTGTTAAAATATCGGACCCTCAAAAATCAGATATTATCGGGATAATATCAGGGATATTATCGATATTTAATAGCTTGGATATAATATATAGAGATATTTACGAATATACCCATTCTTAGCACCAAAAATATAAATAAACCCTACACCATTTAATTTCTATAAACAAACCCAAAAACAACCCAAAAAATAACAGCTGGCTCTATTTAATATAATTTTGATTATTAAATTACTTTGATGCCTTATTGAGTGTTTTGGGTTTTTTTTTATAAGGTTTTGCGATTGGGTTTGTTTTAAGAAATCAATGCCAGTTTTGTAATTTAGAAGCTCAATATTAAATATCGATATTATCGGCGAAATATCGCCAATAATATCTTTTTTTGAATTGGCGATATTTTAGCCCATATCCACTTAAATATCGTCAATATATCGATATTTTCGTCGATATTATCGCGATAATGTCGGAGGCGATATTTTCCAACTTCTTCATGCTTTATTTGGGCAATATATCACGATAATATCGCGATATGAAACTGAAAAATAGATGTCGGCGATCAGAAACTGAGACTGAGAAACATAGAAAAATCGAGATAAGAAGATAGAGCAAAGAGAGAGTTAGCGGAGCAAAGAAGCGACGGGGAAAAAATAGAACAGATAAGAGAGAAAGAAGCTGACCTGCGAGCAAGGCTGGAGGCGGCGCGGTGGCTGATCGACTGAGAGTGAGAGGATCGAAGTAGAGAAACTAGAGAGAGAGAGAGAGAGAAGTTTCGGCGGAGAAGAGAACCTGAGAGAGAGAGAGAGAGAGAGAGAGAGAGAGGAATGAAAACCTAACCTAACTCGCGCATAGGGCTGATTTGGGTGTAATCTTGTGCTACTTGAGAAAAATGCGGTGTGAATTGAATTAAATTATTATAGTCGTATAAATGCAAAATCTTTGACAAATCCATAAACGCCCTTTTTGCTCGTGCTTGTGCCACATGGCTCGGACTCTGACAAAACTGGAAGCAATTATATATACGTGTAACGTGTCCTCCTTTTCTGGCAATTCTTTCATGTGAAATATATATCCTCCCATTATGGCCAACAGTCCAAAGCTGTCGCTGATCGTTCAGACTCCACATTTGAAAAAAATAACAAGGTGAAAGTGACACAACAGAACAAGCAAGCAGTTAAGGAGTAAAATCAAAAGACAATTGCAGGATGATTCGAGTTTCCACCCATTTGCTTTTATTTTTTATTTTTTATTTTTTAAATAAAGTAAAAACAATATTGTTGTATTCTAATTTATTTTTCAAATGTGTTATCACAAAATTGATGTAGGTATAAGATTTGAATATCCTTTTCTTAAAATTGGTTTATAATATTGTTGCTCAAAGTATTTAACAGACGTTTTCTTTTCTTTTAATATTGTGTTGTATTATTATTCACTATTGAGTTTTAATATTGTTCATTATATGTGATACTAAGTTTTAACTTTAATAGGAATATTTTCTATATGATACTAAGTTACTCATATTTTTTATTTTTGTTTTTTTTTGTCAAGCTCATATATCTTATCATATGTAATATATTGTAGTAAATTATTATAACTAAAAAATTATGGTGTGTTTAATTTTCTTTTACTAATTACTACATATTTTCTAAAGACACAGTGTTTGTCAAGTCGCTACATAATCAACTTAAATCACTCAAACTCACCATGCCATGCATTTTATTCCAATTTTTTGTGACAAAATAATAGATAATTGACTAAATAAACATCCTCTAAAGTTTCAATAAAAATTTCCAAGTTTTTCTTGGTGAAAGAAATAAAATGAGTTTAAATAGAATTACCCCACTCTAACTAATATCGAGACCTTTTGTGGTAAAATTCCACACCTGACGAATTAGGCATGTGGTAAAATGGGGACAGTATCGATGTTGTTAGAGTGGGACCCATCGGGCAGATCCAAAAACTTCAACACCTCAATCCAAATTTCCCACTTGCCTAAGTTGCTACAATTACTTGACTTAGTTGGAGCTGATGCTGTTATATTTTTCATAATAGTAATTGTAATAACTCATGCCATTGTTCTAGTTAAATTATAGCTTAGTTGGTCAATGTTTAAAAAAATTCTGGTTTGGCTTTGAATGGGTAGTAACACACTGAGAATTTGTGTTTCTAGTGAGTTTCCTTGTCATCCACTTTCTTCCCCTTAGCTCTCATACAATAGTCAATAGGGATCAAAATGGGCATAGCAAGGCAAGTGGATTTGCCACTTCCAAGTTTTTCTAATTTGTGATAGACTTTAAAGGCCTCAGAGGTGATGGTTGTTTGCAAAGTCCCTGTCTGCTACGTGCGGTGCTGCTCAACTCCCTTTTCCTTCCATTTCATTTGTCCTCATTACTGAAAATGGATGGGATGGGAGAAGACTTCAAAGTCAAGCAAGCAGCAACTCTCATCAAGGAAGCCTTTTCCCAATCCCACCGTATTAAAGCCACCACAACCCTTCTCAGTTTCTTCATCACTTCCCCTGTTCAGCAACTCTAAAACCAGATAGTTTTATCCAAAATGAAAACTTTCCTCCAATATTTCTTCCTCTTATTCTTAAATATCACTACTATAACAATCTGTGGTAAAACCATCCCTTCAGTTCACAGCCGCTGTATTAAAGACCAACAACTATCATTGCTCCATTTGAAGAAAAGCCTTATATTTAATGGAGATTCTTATGATTCATACCCTACCAAGGTTATATCATGGAATTCGAGTACCGACTGTTGCTCTTGGCTTGGTGTTGCTTGCAGTACTGACGGGCGTGTTGTTCGTCTCGACCTTAGCGGAGAATCTATCTCTGGTGGCATTGACAATTCCAGTAGTCTCTTCAATCTTCAACATCTTCAAAGCCTCAATTTGGCCAACAACGTGTTTAGCTATGGCTCTCGCATTCCGTCAGCAATCGGAAAGCTTACCAACTTGAGGTATCTAAATTTATCATATAATGGTTATTCTGGGCAAGTTATTCCCATTGAGATTTCACGCTTGGCAAGGTTAGTTATCCTTGATATATCTAATATGTATTTCCAGAATGATCAAGGTCTGTTACTTGAGAGCCCGAATTTAAGCATGCTCTTGCTGAACTTCACAGAGCTTACAGAGCTTTATCTTGATGGAGTAATTATCCCAGCACATGGTACTCACTGGTCCCAAGCGATATCTTCACTGCCAAACCTGAGTGTGTTGAGCTTGTCAAATTGTGATCTTTCAGGTCCTATTGATCAATCCCTCGCTAAACTTCACTCTCTATCCGTGATTAGATTGGATCATAATTCCCTAATCTCTGGTCCAATTCCAGGATTTTTTGCCAACTTTTCAAACCTGAGGGAGTTCAACTGGGGTGGCAACTATATTTCCGGTCCAATTCCAGGATTTTTTGCCAACTTTTCAAACTTGAGGGAGTTCAACTGGGATGGCAACAATATTTCCGGTCCAGTTCCATTATTCTTTTCCAATTTCTCAAAGTTGACTTCCTTGAATCTCGTGGCATGTGAGTTGCGCGGGACATTCCCCAAACAGATCTTTCAGATACCTACTCTACAAACTATTAACCTTTACTATAATGGTGAACTTCATGGTTCCTTGCCAGAATTTCCAAAGAATGGATCTCTTAGGTCCTTGGATCTAAGCTTTACCAACTTTTCAGGGTTAATGCCGGACTCTATTGGCAACCTCAAAATGCTCTCCATGATAATTCTTTTCAATTGTAGTTTCACGGGATCAATCCCGAAGTCACTGGCGAACCTAACACAATTGGTTCGTTTGGACTTGTCATCAAACATGTTCAATGGTCCAATTAGTTCTATCCACTGGGAGAAGCTTAGTAATCTGGTACATCTCCAGTTGAATGACAATCTACTTGAGGGGAGTATTCCGTCATCTCTCTTTTATCTTCCCTTATTGCCAGAGCTAGTACTTTCCGACAATCAATTCTCAGGTAAACTCAGCGAGTTTCCTAACGTCTCTTCCTACTTATTTACCATTGATTTAAGCTTCAACAATTTGGAAGGACAACTGCCTGTGTCTATCTTTAATTTTCGAGGCCTTGAATCACTTCGTCTTTCTTCCAACAATTTCAGTGCCTTTCCGTTCAATGGCCCTCAACAGCTGAAAAATCTTACAGACATTGACCTTTCGTACAATAGCTTGCTGAGTTTATACAATGGTACTGATTCCTCATTTCCTCAACTTAGTTTATTGAATTTGGCTTCTAACAAATTGAGAACAATCCCAAATTTCTTGAGAAATCAATCTGCATTATCCTCTTTGGACCTTTCAGAAAACCAGATTGAAGGAAAGATACCCCGTTGGATTTGGAGTTTCAAAGATCTTTTTGACTTAAATCTCTCTTGTAACTCCTTAGGAACTCTAGAAGCTCCTTTCTTTTATCCTGATGTTCGTGAGCTTGACCTTCATTCAAACCAACTCCAGGGGAAACTCCCAATTTTCCTACCAAATGCCTTCTATCTGGATTACTCACAAAATAATTTCAGCTCTATCATACCAACTGATATTGGTGATTTCCTCACTTCCTATACTTCCTTCGTATCATTTTCAAGCAATAACTTACATGGCTACATTCCAGTATCGATATGTAATGGGGGTCTTCGAGTTCTTGATCTGTCCAATAATTCTCTGAGTGGCATGATTCCACAATGCTTGTCGGCAAAAGTAGGTCTTGGAGTACTTAATTTAAGGAGAAACAACCTTACTGGAACTATTTCTAATTTTGAATTTCCTGAATTTTGTGGATTAGACACTCTGAACCTTGGTGAAAATCAGATAAAAGGTCAGTTTCCAAAATCTCTAGCCAATTGCACAGGTTTACAGGTTTTAAACCTTGGCGAGAATCATCTGGTGGATACCTTTCCATGCTTGTTGAAGAACATATCCACTCTGCGTGTCCTTGTTTTGCAGTCCAACAAATTTTACGGACGCATTGAATGTCCCAAGACCCATGGCACCTGGCCAATGCTTCAAATCATAAACCTAGCTCACAACAATTTCAATGGTGAAATACCGAGAAGATCTTTGACAACATGGCGGTCAATGATGGCTAATGAAGGTGATTCCCTAGCAAAGGTCAAATTCTTAGAATTTTCACACCCAGCAGGGAGAGACGGGGTTGGTTTTTCTTTTGAGGATGGTATAACAGTTACTAGCAAAGGTTCACAGATGGATCTGCTAAAGATTCTATCTATCTTCACCTTGATTGACTTCTCATGCAACAATTTCAGTGGACTAATACCTAAGGAAATAGGAAAATTCAAATCATTATATGTCCTTAACTTGTCCGGAAATGCCTTCACAGGCGAAATCCCATCCTCGTTTGGTAACATGCGGGTACTCGAGTCCTTGGACCTGTCACAGAACAAGCTGAGTGGGCAAATTCCACCACAGTTGGCAAATCTTACTTTCCTTTCATTCTTGAATCTCTCATATAATCAACTGGTCGGCAAGATCCCAACCAGTACTCAGTTTTCAACATTTCCAAAAGACTCATTTATAGGAAACAAAGGACTATGGGGGCCTCCTTTGACAGTGGATAACAAAGCACCACCACCAGCATTAAATGAAAGCCTTCCAAATTCTGGCCATCGTGGGATTAATTGGAATCTTATCAGTGTTGAAATTGGATTTACAGTTGGCTTTGGAGTTTCCGTTGGGTCACTTGTGTTGTGCAAGAAATGGAGTAAGTGGTATTACAGAGCTATGTACAAGATGGTTCTCAAGATATTCCCTCAGCTAGAGGAAAGAATTGGTATTCATCGAAGACATGTTCACATAAATCAAAGGTGGAGACACTGAATTGATTAGCATTGTGATTATGGTTGTCATATTTTAGCTTAATTATGCCCTAATAATTTATGTAATGTTATTCAATGTGAGTTCAATGCAAACTGTCTTTGGT